ATTTTGGTGGTGGTGGTGGTGTTTTTGTTGTTGTTGTTGTTTGTGTGTGTGTGTGTGTTTATTTGGTTATTAATGATGCTGAAGCAGTTTGAAATTTTATCTGTTTATTAAATAAGCAGTTACGAATTTATAGACGAATGTTATTGTTGGTATAATTTTTTAAATTTATTATTTTGTTCCCTTGGAGGCAGTAATATTCAGCACGTTGTTTGGTGGGTTTGGGAAAGTATCACTCTTTTTGAGTAGGGTTTATTGAGGAGAGAGATGTCATCGGTAATTGTTAACTCAGTAAGTAGTGATTCTGTGATTGTGAGGTTGGGATTAGGAGAAGTCGTTTCATTTGGTGGGTGAGAGTACGGGTGGAATGCAATAGCGGCAGTTATAGATGAGTGGATTTTGATGTTAATTATTGGTTGCAGATTATACCGATATGTATGGAGGTTGTTGAACTGGGAGTGGAGTTGGTCTTCAATACATCGGATCTTTTGAGTGCGATCATCGACAGTGTTGATGCGAAATGGCGTGAGAATGTGCTCGTGAAGAAGTATTTCGTGAGCGATATTGTGGAGATGCTTCGTAATCTTACCACACATCCGGTGCGTTTCATTTATTCACTCTTTTATTTACTGATTTTGGATTCTTTTGCGGAAAACAGAAATTTGATATAAGCTAAGTAAATGCAAATGTGTTGTTATTATTATGCTTTTTGCTTTTTTAAAGTTTCGTTTGATTGCAACTGAACTCTGTTTGATTTCTCAGTGGTGGCTTTGCACTTGAGAAGAAATAAACTTGATGAATGAAATTACAGGATGATGAGAAGTTGACACAATCGTTATCAACACGACTGCATTTGAGTTGTTTGCTGTGGGATTCAATAGCGGATGAGTATTTGAGTGAGTCAACGAAGTGCTCATTGGAATCGATGTTGATCTCAATACTGGAATTTATCGCTTCCAAACAGTCGCACGCACTCATGAAGTTGGTATTTGTATTAGTTAAATGCTTTCAACTTTTTTAGCAGTGATCATTGTCGCACAACTTTTTATTTTTGTTTCCTATTAGAGTAAGTAATAATATTGGTCCACTTTGGATATTGTGGAATAGTGCTGAATGGATGATAAATGTTACAGGCTAATCGCTCCGGTTTGTCTGTGGTTTGATTTGTACTCGAAGATGCTTACAATGAAAAGTAATAAGACAAAAATGCAGAATGTTAGTGGTTATTTTCATCCGTTAGCTCGTTTTGGGTGCAAGCATCGAAACATTTTGAAATTTCAGTTCTCATTTTGAAACCGATTGGAAATTTTTTAGATTGTGTAGTAAATCGTCATTTGTCTTACAATTAGAATGATTTGTGTGTGAGTGAGTGATGCAATTTTTTAGTCAGTGGACTCGTTGGTATGGAAATACTGGAGCGCCGATGGCACAGGCAGTGGTCAG